TAGCCCCCTTCTCCTAGAAAGGAATGTATGAAATAAGGTATCACAAAATAAGTCTTGTTCTGTCTTCAAGACTAACACATTTCTTATAGAATAAGCTTTCATGAACTACAAAAAAATACTTGGAGCATACATATATATGATTACACTGCAACACTTATTGATGCAGATCTGTTTCATCCCTCTCTTAAGTTCAGTTCTCCACATTAGTCTGAATTTTAAAAAAAGCTTCATGAAAATTCATCAGCATTCTAGTGCAAATTTCTCCTACTTTTGTATGCAATTTTGCCTAATGTACTCACTTTGGCAAAGCAGTTTCTTCTAATATAATGCAGTTGTGTATGTTATTTCCACAGATATTATGCCTTATGATGCACATTTTACCTTTGTATATTCATTTGTGTACACATTACTTGGCTGGAGACCTGCACTGTAAAATCTGGAGAACTGCCGATTTCAAAAGATGGCTGTGTTTTGGTTTGCATATTGTTCCAGAAAGTGTGAATTAGGTTGGTTCACATTAAAATCCATGTCTCAATATCTTTGTCTTGCATCGGTCACGAGAACATGAAAGGGAGCAAGGCATTGGCTTGGCTTTCACTGCAACTAGGCCTGAGAGCCGTGTGCTGTTATGGAACATCTGCTATTTTGGTAGGCACTCACTCCCCAGGTCTTAAACCATATCCTGCCCTGGACGGCTGAAGTAAACCAGGTGTAAGTGGTTTTGATGGCTGAGCCAAAACCACATCTTACTGAGAGAAACTGTCTTTGACATGAAGGCTCAATTCTCAGTAGCCAGCATACCCCTCCCCCACCCATGTTGTTGCTGGGAATGTTGACAAAGGCCGACAGCCCAGAAAGGTTGGATTCCAAATCTTGAAAGCCTCTTTCACAACATAAACCATCAAAGCTGGGTCAAAACCATCAACCAACATAATCTATTCTCAGCCATGGCAGTCATTCCTCCTCAATCACCATTTCATGTTTACTTATCCATTTTAAAGCAAGCAAAGAAAGACATGCCATTGACCTCAGGTGATGTGAATATATGTGTGTATCTATATCTTACATACAGCCCTTCATCTGAAGATCCCAGGATGGTTCACAACAGAAAAATTAATAATAATAATAATAATAATAATAATAATAATAATAATAGTTGTTGTTTAGTCATTTAGTCGTGTCTGACTCTTTGTGACCCCATGGACCAGAGCATACCAGGCACTTCTGTCTTCCACTGCCTCCCGCAGTTTGGTCAAACTCATGCTGTTAGCTTCAAGAACACTTTCCAACCATCTCGTCCTCTGTCGTCCCCTTCTCCTTGTGCCCTCAAACCTTCACAACATCAGGGTCTTTTCCAGGGAATCTTCTCTACTCATGAGGTGGCCAAAGTATGGAGCCTCAGCTTCAGGATCTGTCCTTCCAGTGAGCACTCAGGGCTGATTTCCTTAAGAATGGATAGGTTTGATCTTCTTGCAGTCCATGGGACACTCAAGAGTCTCCTCCAGCACCATAATTCAAAAGCATCAATTCTTCGGCGATCAGCTTTCTTTATGGTCCAGCTCTCACTTCCATACATCACTACTGGAATAATAATAATAATAATAATAATAATAATAATAATAATAATAACAACCCACCTCCCACAAACACATTTAAAAAGTCATAACCAAATGCTTGGTTGAAGAAAAATGCCTAAAGATATGTAATGAATGTGTTAGGTGAGTCTCCCTGGGAAGAGCATTCCACAAGCAGGGAGCCACTGCAGAAAAGGCTCATTCTTGTGTTGTTGCCCCCTGGACTACTCATGGAGGAGGCATATGAAGAAGGGACTCAGAGGATGATCATGGGGTCTGGGTCAATTCATATGGAGAGAGGCAGCCCTTGAGGTATTGTGGTCCTGAGCTGTTTAGTGCTGTATAGGTCAAAACCAGCACTTTGAATTGAGCCCAGAAACTGATTGATATTGTCTTTTAAGATAAAAGCCAAGATCCTCGTATTAATTTGCAAGGCCCCAAACAACACAGGCCTAAATCCTTAGGGACCGCTTAAATACCTATATCCCAGCTTAATCACTGAGATCATCTGTAGGAACATTGCTGGTGCTCCCCCAGTCTGGTGAGGCTCATCTGACATTGGCATGAAACCAAGCCTTCAGTGTCATCACCTCTGGGATGCTCTCCCAATCGAGATTCCGCAGACATCTTCTGCTGTAATTGTTAAATGTTTGCTGAACATTTTTTTATGCTTTGAGGCCTATGCAGACAGTTAAGAATAATAATTTCTGTAACCAGTTAGCTGGTGGTTTGTGATTTTAATTTGTGTGTGTGTGCTTTAATTTTGTGTGTGTGTGTGTGCTTTAATTTTGTGTGCATGTTGTAAACCACTTTGGTGTTTGTTTTTTAATAAAAATAAAAATAAAACTGCAATATATAAGTACTTTTAATACTGGAAAATAGGGACGCTTGGAGGGTCTGTGATGCTTGGCTTTACTGATGCTACTTCCTTAATAATGTGTGCTTTCACTTGGCCTGCATTTGCTCCAGTTAATCCTGCTTCAAATGTGCTTCTCATTCTCTCATTACTGGATTGACTCTTCACCTACCAGTGCTGGTTTTTCCTTGGTCCTCGTCCCATTTCTACCATCTGAATTGAATCTATGGTGGTTGAGCTTGGCCTTGACTACATCTTCATTGGTGCCCTTGTTGCAAACTTCTTGGATGCTGAGCACTGGTCCTTGTGAATTATGCCTGTGCACAATTGGACTGGGGTATTCCCCACTCACTCAACTTGAGACATACCTACGATTTTGCTGCTAATCCTGTTTTCAGATCTTGTCCTATGAACAGCTGCAGGCAATAAAAGCTGCCTATGATGAATGTGTACGGTCCTTCTCTCAAGCACCTTTTTCTAGAGCAACTTAGAAACCCTTTAACTGAGATTTCATATTGCTGTGTGAAACTGCAGTTCTGAAACAAGTGTCCATCAATGAACGCCTTTGAAAACTGACTGCATTAAATTACAATTATTTGCACGTGACTCTCTAATCTGCATTCACAACCAGCCTGGTCCTATGCTAATATTATGCACACACAAAGCATAGTCAAGGATTCATAAATGCATCCCAGCATTTCAGTGGTCTCCAAATCTGGCACATCAAGGAAGATTTTCTCGTTGCATCTTGCAAAAGCCAACTTCCTTATCCTTGCAGTATGTGTGCAATAAAGAGCTCTTTTGTGATTCATTCTGTGTTCATTCACTCAGTAAATAGCCCCTTATTGCCTTTTTTTTTTTAATACTACAAAGCAAATGAGATTATTGCTTAAATTGTCCCATAGCCATCAGCTTCTGTCCTCTGGCTTGTTTTTGTTTTCAGCTTTTCTATTGTGGTTTGAAGGAAGGGAGAAAAACTTGTTTAAAATTAGCTCCCCCAATAACTCACACTAACAATGAAGGGAGCGTTTCTGCAGGGTGACAGATTTGTGGCTTTTTATGCTTGTAATGATGATGATCTGCTTTCTTGCTGAAATTTCCTTTTGCTTTTATTCTCCAAAACTCCGAGTGTGGCGGCATTATAGAAAGCTCTACCAGGAAGAGACTTGGGAGGTTGTCCCAAAGACATGAAGTTATGTGTTGCCTTAGCCCAGACTGGCAATTCCTGCATCATACTGACAGCAAACTCATTCGCTCAGTGCCAATCCATATAGCACCAAAGGCACTATCCATGCAGGAGATTAGCAGGCTGGGTCTGCAGAAGTATAAAAAGGAACTGTTTCAGGGGAGAAATTAACATGGTTAGCCTGCTGGTACACTGACCAGGAGCTGTCCACACTACAATAGGGTGCTGTTTGTTATTTGGCTGGTGGTTATTTAATCTGCATTTTTATTAGTGAGTGTATTATATCTGTTTGAAACTTGCCTTCATGGCAACTTGTTCTGAAATTGCACTTGCAATGAAGAGTGGGTCAGAAATGTTTATTATTGTTATTGTTTTTATTTTTATTTTATAATTAATACCCCACTCTGAATGGCTTACAGCATATCTAAAAACATAATGAAAACACCAGGCATTAAAAACCTCCCAATACAAGGCTGCCTTCAAATGTCTTCTAAAAGTTGTGTAATTCTTTATCTCCTTGACATCTGAAGGGAGGGCGTTCAACAGGGAGGGTGCCACTACTGAGAAGGCCCAGTAAATAATGTTGCTGCAGGTCCCACTGGACTTTTACAACCATCATCAGCATGACTCCTGGTTTTAATAATTTGACCTGGATTATGGTAGTGTTTGTAATAAAGCTGTGCATGGGAGGGTGGAGGTGTTCAAGCTCAGATGGAGAAGAAGCCCCTTCCTGATGTACACTGATGTTTTCTCAGAAATGCCCTGGCAATCTCGGTGTGGTGTGTGCTGCCATCTTGCAGTGTCCTGGTTTTCCCCAGCCATGGCCATTTTAAAAGTAATCCCCGTACTTGCATGGTGCATTAGTGATGGACACTAATGTAGCTGATAAATAGCATTTTTCTTCCATCTTTTCCAACTCTCTAATGTTAGCAAAATGTTTCAGTGATTATTTATTTATTTATTGAAAGCCAGCACTTGGTCAATTCAATAGTCAGGAGGTGCCATTTTCTATGAATACCTGAATATTTTGCAATTGCTTTTATATTTACTTAGATGTGAATAGTTGTCTTCCATGTTTGGTTGAAGATGAAGATTCTTTAAAGTGGCAGAGTGTATGTTTCGAATTGGAAGGCAGAAATATTTTGAAAACAGGTAATCCCTTTGAGCAATATAAGCTGCAGTCCTCATCCCAAGTACAGTGGTACCTCGGGTTACAGACGCTTCAGGTTACATATGCTTCAGGTTACAGACTCCACTAACCCAGAAATAGTACCTCAGGTTAAGAACTTTGAATTCAGTAGGACTTAATCTCTATAAGAAGAACCCTGTGAGGTAGGTTAAGCTGAGAGGAAGGGGCAGGCCCAAGGTCACCCAGTGAGCTTCACAGCTGAGCGGGGATTTGAACCCTGGCCTCACAGGTCCTACTCTGACACTCTAACCACTGAACTACACTGGCTTTTATAGTAGTTATACCTAAATGTGTATATATGTTAGGTTCCCCACTTCCGTTCTAGAAGCAAAACAAGTTCTTGCCCTCCAGCAGCCATGGGCAGGAGGGGACTCTAGTGATGCTAATTAATGTTTACAGGGTGCTTTAAGAAAATGTAATAATAATAATAATAATAATAATAATAATAATAATTTATTTGTACCCTGCCCATCTGGCTGGGTTTCCCCAGCCACTCTGGGTGGCTTCCAACAGAGATTAAAAATACATTAAAACATCAGTCCGTTAAAACTTCCCTAAACATGCATGTTTCATCATGGGATAGAATTGGAAGGTTTGGAAGGTTTTAGTGGAAAGAATTACGGGTTCAAATATTGCATTAAACAAATCACAATGCCCCCTGGCTCCCTATGTACTGTTGAACCTACTTTTTAAAACAAATAAACAAACAAACAAAAATGTCTTAAGTAACTTCAAGATTCAATCAACTCCCTGTTTCTACCACCACATAAATGACAGCAGGGTTGCGTCATTTCCCCCCCCAAACTTGAATGTATTCTGGACCGGCTACCTCCAACATCCTCCCCTTATTCAATCAGCGGCTTCAGGTCCTTCTCTTTTTGCTTCTCGCTTGAAAACCTGGCAGTGTCTGTCAATAAGCCATAAGTGCCAAGCTAAGAAGAACTGCTGTCATCAGACAGAAAGGCCTCTAAGTCCACTTCCCTAACAACCCATTTTAATAACAAGAGCAATAACGGGATTTATTATGCATGCGCTCTCCGCAATCATTTCTGAAGAGAAAATTAGTTTGAAGCCTTGGGCGACAGTTGAACTCTCCAAGGCGCTTAAAATAAAATAAGGAACGGGAGGGAAATATATACATAAAAGAGGGGGGGCGGGAATAACAATAACTACCGAGCTAAAGTGCAATGCGAATATTTATCGGGGCAAGCAGGATGGTAAACTTTATCTGTTACTTGCAATCCCCTCTCTCTCTCTCTCTCTCTCTCTCTCTTCTACCCCAGCACCCCCCAAACTGGTGAGGGAGAAGGACAGTTTGTCACTCTGAACTCTGGTCGGTTTACTCGTGCTAAGCTGGTGCTTAATGCCCTTTGGCACAGAAGACACCAAGGCGAGGATCATTGCACCGCATAAATTGTGTGGCGGGCAAGACCTGGCGTTCCAGTGCGCTGACGTGCAGATTTACTGCACAGGCCAAACTGCAATAAATTCTAGGTGCCTCTACACCAGAGCGTAAATCTCCGTTGTGTTGATAGGGAGTTAAGAGCGAAGGCAGGTCTCCGTGCTGCAAGCCAGGAGCAATGGATTAACTCTTTGCCAAGGCTGGCCCCCAGTCGGAACCAATATGTGGCTTTGTAAGGCCCTGTCATGCATGACTTAGGGCAAAGAACCAGATGTTCAGAAAATCACTGGCAGTCATAATTTGAGGTGGCTTTTCAAAAAAAGGGGACTTTCTGCAGGTTGTTGAGCTCTACTGAGGCTGACTGTAAGGGATGGGTTTCTACAATGTCACTCTTAATCTGAGGTTTTAAAAATCAACAGAAGTGCTCTAGGCTCTCTTCTTAACATTGTTTGGCCATACGATCTTCCCCCGCCTTCAAGATCATCAAAGGACCAGGGCTTCAAAGACCTGCCTTTAAGATCTGTAAGACTGGCAGGGCCTCTTCGCTGGTGATCCCATAGCTGTGGAATTCCTGTCAAAGAAGCTACATGTGACCTTCTCAGTGCTGGATTTTAAACAGCCCTCAAAAACCTACTTGTTCCTTGCTGCTATGAATTAGGATGTTGAACTTTTTAATACTGCTCTCAAAAAGCAGAGACATCACCTTGCCAACAAAAGTCCGTATAGTTAAAGCTATGGTTTTCCCAGTAGAAGAAGAAGAAGAAGAAGAAGAAGAAGAAGAAGAAGAAGAAGAAGAGTTTGGATTTGATATCCCGCCTTTCACTCCCCTTCAGGAGTCTCAAAGCGGCTAACATTCTCCTTTCCCTTCTTCCCCCACAACAAACACTCTGTGAGGTGAGTGGGGCTGAGAGACTTCAAAGAAGGTCACCCAGCAGCTGCATGTGGAGGAGCGGAGATGCGAACCCGGTTCTCCAGATTACGAGACTACTGCTCTTAACCACTACACCACACTGGCTCTCGATGTATGATGTATGGAAGTGAGAGCTGGACCATAAAGAAGGCTGATCACCGAAGAATTGATGCTTTTGAATTATGGTGCTGGAGGAGACTCTTGAGAGTCCCATGGGCTGCAAGAAGATCAACCCTATCCATTCTTAAGGAAATCAGCCCTGAGTGCTCACTGGAAGGACAGATCCTGAAGCTGAGGCTCCAATACTTTGGCCACCTCATGAGAAGAGAAGACTCCCAGGAAAAGACCCTGATATTGGGAGAGATTGAGGGCACAAGGAGAAGGGAATGACAGAGGACAAGATGGTTGGACAGTGTTCTCGGAGCTACTAACATGAGTTTGACCAAACTGTGGGAGGCAGTGGAAGACAGGAGTACCTGGTGTGCTCTGGTCCATGCGGTCAGGAAGAGTTGGACACAACTAAACAACTAAACAACAACAACAACAATACTGCTTGAGCCCCACATTGGGCATAAGATTCCTGCATTGCAGGTGGTTGGACTAGATGACCCTCGTGGTCCCTTCCAACCCTACAATTCTATGACTTTATGACTCTTGTTAGCTGTTGCTAAGGATGTGGGAGGCAGTGACTTCGATTCTAACTTGCCTTTGTCACAATTAGTGCTGTTTCTGTTTCCATGCAGTCCATTTCCCACCCAATACTACATTCTTCATCTCACTCTTTGCTGTTAACATAATGTACATAATTATTTATGTAATTAACATAAGTTATGAAATTCAAATAATTAATGATGTAATTATTTCCTTACCATTTCAGGGCAAAGGCAATTCATTTCATTGCAAAGCAAACACCTTTTAAATTGTGGAGGGAGGAGAGTAATAAATTACGTATCGTTTGCAAATTGAAAATAGCAACAACCATAAATAATGACTGGTAAAATGGGCTGTTGTTGTTGTTGTTGTTACAATCAAGCGGTGTATAAATTGTATAAACATAAATATATATAAAATATAATGTTCCTTAAACAACAGAGTGTGCTATATATCAGAATATGGAACACTGGTTGAAAGTCCATTTTGACTAATTAGTTTTTCGTTCAGTCCCATACATTCAATGCAGCATTCTTGGGAAGAGTGCTAGCACCACACACCTGAGGAAATGAATCCAAGTCCTCCGTGTGTAATACTAGTCAATAAACGTTATTTTGCTTGTTCAACTGCTTTTTCTGTTTGTAGATTGTTAGTTGTAAGCTAACAACTTGCTATTGTGTGTGTGTGTGTGTGTGTGTGTGTGTGTGAATGAGAGAGAGAGAGGGAGAGAAGCATACAAGCGCCTTATAACAGTATGCAATAAATGCAATTGCCCAGGCAAAATGGAATAAACACCACTTCCATGAACTGTAATTTATACTAGCTGCAATTTTGTGATATCTATGTTCTCAGGGTTTAATACAATACCATTTTCACCTTTTGGGTCTTGTTGTTTGTGTGTGAAGACCCCCAAAGCCACCCCCCAATTGAAGAACACAATAGGCACAGATTTTAGTTTAAGATTTTTGGCATTCAATTTTGGTCACAACTTTATTGATTACAGCATGTGAGGCGATGCTTAGGCATTGGTTCCAGACTACCTGAACCTGCATGGTGGCAGGAACAGGACTGACACTGGGCACTACCATATGTTAGTAAGGGAAAACATCCTGGGGAGCAAGAACTCCTTCGATCTTACAGCTCACCCCAGATTTTCCCAGTGGCTGTGGCATAAATTTGTGACGATTTGCTACATGGTAGGCAAAAACCAAGTGGCACCAGCCAATCAGCCAAATGGCAAAATTCCTACCAGGCCCCTGCTCCAAAACAGACGACTCCTAGACAGGCATAGCAAGACCATAAGAACAACCCTAAATATAGGGAGAGGAGGGTGGGTGATCCGCTGCATGTTGCAAGAGAGCGAAACTCTCCAGCGATGTGCAGCAGCTTAAGTAGCCCCTCAGCAGCCAATAGCCAACCGAACTGACCAAATTTCTGCCCCAGCAACAGAGGGGCAACCAATGGGGTGTTGTGGCCATCCAAATGGTCCCGCCCCACAACAGGGAGGTAGTGTCTGGTGATCTCACTGCAATACGTGCCCTCCATGATGGAGGACCCAACTTATGTACTGTTATCTAGGAATCCTCATTGTTATTTATCCTTCATTCTTACTCCGTATAAGGCAACTTCCCATGATGAAATTTCGAGAGACCTTCAGCCTGGAGTTAAATGGAGGGAGGGTGAAACAAGGAAAGAGCAACACATTTGTAATAGTTTTTTCCATTTAATTTCATGTAGACATAGACTTGGATGGTATATTTTTCCAGGCAGCTTGTCCTGAACCACTGAAAACGCCGTAATAGTCCAACAATGAGACCATAAAAGCTGCTCTTGATTTAGTTTTGATTCTCTTTCCTTTTCGGAGTATGGTCCGAAGAACTCGTTTGAAAGCTGGGGATCCCTTGTAAAACATGTTCAGAAGCCAAAGAAAACAAAGTGTGGCTGTTGTTTAAAAAGGCACTTCAAACTTGAAATGCAGGACTACATAAAGAGACCATCGAGAAAGCTGGGTTTGTGCCTAACTTCTCCCAGACTGTTGCCTAACCTGTTAAATCCCATAATAAAAGTCATGACATATAATGAGCTGGAATTTTGTGGCTGTTTGGTGGTGCCCCTATCTTTAATGTCAAACAGCATGTTCTTTCTCAACAGTTAGCTTTAATAAGATGGTTGATATATACTATTTAAATACCAATTGATTATTTAAAGCTTTTTTTTATTTATAACTGCCCATTATAAAGTCTTCAGACACACACACGCCAATCAGAGCAAGAGGCTGGTGGATGAACATTCCTTCGCAGACCCA